CTGTGTCTGACGCGTCTGCCTCCGCGGTCCGAAAGCAGAAGCAGCGATGGAAGATGAAGATGAAATTCAAGGGACCGAGAACCTCGATAACATAAAATAACTGTGAAAAATGATATTTAAGCTGTCATGTTTTTACCTGTAGACCACAGCATCCGCAATACTTCGGCTTGTGAAACATGTCTGAATGACGTTCGGACCACTTTTGCGATGGGGCGTTGTACTGACATATTGAGCACTTGAACCTCTTGTGTCGTGTGGCTTCCCGGCGAAAGCACACCTCGTGTTGAACCAATTCCTCGGCGATACCAATCACTTGGAAGCATTCGACGCAGTGCATTTGAGTACCATTCGCTTCCGGCGTATGGAAGTCCGTCCAGTGGTCACGAAACTCCTCCAGCTCGATTCGACGACAACAGCTGCAACAAAGGAACATGATTTTATCCCGATGACAGGGTTCGATCCGAGTTCGTTTCTTCTTCGGATCATAATTCATTAAGTTCTTCTCGGCCCCGGAGATCGGCAAAGAACGACGCTTCCCCCTCCCTAACCTTGAAGCTGAAGAATGTCTGGCGCAAAACTGGATGTCGTCGCGTTGCCAATAATCGGGATTAGGTCTGGCAGATGCCGTGCGATTCATACGACCCACTAGACTTCGACCACTATAGTTTGCGCCGTTCACGAAATTCTGCCATCGCTGCATCTGATACTGATACAGATATTTCGCATGGACGTTAAATTCAATCTGCTTAAAACGATTAAAATTATAGAAGTTCACAGCTTTTTAACAGGCAATTGTTTTCATACGCAACATCAGCACACGAGCAAATTTAATAAAGTAGCATTAAATGCAAAATCCAAGTCATGAAAAATCGCCTGATGCTATTGTCGTTGCTTCATCAGTGGCAGATGGGTGTGAAACTTACCTGCTGGATTATTCTGGAAAGGCTGAAGCAGGCGAGTGATGAGAGATTTCGCCCAGATCAAGCCGGCCTCGGGATGAGGAACTCCTGTCACGACAAAATGCCCACTCTGTGTAAGATCACTAAGCAACGCTGACGATTCTAGTTGAGTTGCTTTAACAGCTTCATCGATTTTAAGGTTGCGCTTGATCCACTACATCGTCTAACGATGTAGAAGATCCTGAAATGCTGTGGGACATCTGGTTACATCGTTTCCATTTTGGAAGAAATGCACGCAAGAACTGTTATCTGCTGTCAAATTTGAAAGGGGCAAATTGAATAATTCCCTGTTAACCGTGGAGTTTTCCAACGAAATATGCTTTCGTCTTTTTCTTCGAAACAATGCTGATCCCGGAAAAAGACCAAAATGTCATTCTGGATGGAAGGCGCAGTTCATGATATATGGGTAGATATCTTGGTGACCGGTAGCATGCTGATTAAGTTGTCATGGTGAGTAGTATAAGACAATGAATGGCTTCTGCATGCCACAGAGTTGCGAGAGATGGCCTCTTTCTAAACGTCCAAGTCAAAAGTTATCAAGAACCCATCCTGCACAGCGAATCTACGAGTGGAGAAGAGAGGTGAAACTTTTTAGGAGGTTGACCAGTTTAAGCATCCCGGCTTCATCATCTCCAGCGATAGCAGTATCCAGCCAGAATCAAAGAGAGGGATCGCCGTAGAACTGAGTGCGTTAGAAAACCTGGTTTTTGTTGAGAAAGAAATTACTCATTCTAGGAAAATCTGTCCGTACCTGGCCTCTGTCAGGTCAGTGCCTTAGTACAGCATACAGGCAGTTGTTCTAACGAAGGAGCAAGAACGACGGCTCAACTGCATACAGCAGCGGTGGCTCCGACGCATAATAAGAGCTAAATGGCAGGATGACTTCATTCTCTTCTTGTGATATGTGACCTCAGCACATGTTGAGATTAAGAAATGGAGGTTGGCTCTATCAGACAAACTGGTTCAGCATATACTATTTACTCCAGCCCGTGAACTTCGCGTGTGAAGGCAAAAACAGGGCAGATATAGATCGATAGGTCAGAATGGAAATGGAAGAAGGCAGAGGCAGATCTGCCTTAAGATAGTAATATTTCCGTCAGCAATGCAGCAACCAGCATCTTATAGCATGTGCTGAAAAGCTGCGGATACAGCAGACATCATAAACCTGCTTATGCAGAGAGCTAACGCAGTGCAACGCAATATTACTGCTCCCCTTCCCCACCAATTGTAACATATCACTACTTATCGCTCCAAGAGAAAGATTCGAATTTCAAAGATCAGCCACAGAGACATACACAAGGAAAAGTGGGGTCATTTGCATGGTATTACCCTATCTGGAAAAGCCTTACGATATAAAATATGGCAAAATGGCATAACATGCGATGAAAGGTCAAAATGCCAGATTAGGCCAAAGGATAAGGAGTATCGTCAAAAACGTGGTTTCTTGTGGCGAACCATTGCGGACAATCGACACTATACTGTCGTTAATGTCAACTGCCCAGATTCGCATTTTTGAAAGTCATATCCTTTTACAATAGCACGGGATGCAACGCTTCAATACTCGACATCGCCTTAATGAAATGCGCACAAATGTTCATTCACTGTAACATTTAAGCGGTCTGCTGACCCTGTTAAATAAACTTTGTTGCAATCGTTACAGTTTATCTTACAAACCAAATCCTCTGCTGGGAAGGGAGTGCTAGAAAAGTCTCCCAACCATTCAGTGACATACCAGTTTAAAAACATCAGCAAAGTCTATTGGACTTATCAATAGTAAACATTAAAAAGGCATGAGCAGAAGTACAACGCCACATATACCATGAAAAAACATCTTCATCTTCATCTTCCATCGCCGCTTTTCCTTTCGGGTCGCGGAGGCAGACGCGTCCGACAGTGCTTCCAACGTTCCCGATCCTGTGCCAGAGTCTG